GTCGACTTCAGAGCAGGCACATCCGCAAACACAGATCAGAATCTTTAACCTATCTTCTAAAGACGTACAAACACTACTGCAAAAGGTACGCGAAGCATACAATAATCGTAGGGCCCTCGATTCCAGCAAATTATAAAGATGGGAAATGTATGTGCACAAACAGTGACGACACACACACACACACACACACACACACACACACACACACACACACACACACACACACACAATAAATAAGCTAATTTGTGCATCAATTTCAACGTGTATTTTGCCTGATTACCTGAGAATGCGAACGATCGATCGAAGTGATTACAGTGCTGAATCTACCCTCGGCAGCCATTTCAACCGTCTTCAGCCCCACCAGATTCATCAGCGGTATAGCCAGCGATGCGAAGACATCTTCCGCCTTGCGAAGAAAATTACAGTAATGAATCTTCGAGTGGAAAAAGATGAACGGAAAAAAAAATCTACTTCGTCAACCAGACGCGCCGATTAGAACCGTACCTCGAGCAAACCAGTTCTGATCTGACGATGGAGCTGATCGAAGGCGATTTTGAGCTGTTCGTGGCTGGAGACGATTCGCCGGAGCTTGATCTGAACAGAATCGACCGACGGCGACGCAGCGGCGTGAAACCTAGGGGGATACCGGCGACTCATCGGCTCCTTTTTTGGCGGGAAAACGAGGAGATGTCGAATTCAAGTAGAAATTGGCAGTGGTGATTTGTAATGTAAAATATTGAAAAGTAACGGTAGAGAAATGAGGAATAAGGGATACCTAAAAAGAACTTGCTAAGTTAATCACTCCCTAATCACTCGTTAAGTTAATCACTCCCTAATTCTACCAGACGTACTCAATAGTTTCATAATATTTTAATAATTTTTTTATTAAAACATAAGTAAATAATTATTAATTTATCGATTATTTAATATTCTACTAAGTTAATAGAATTTTGGTCATACCAACTATATTAATTTATGAAGGTTTAAATAATGTATACATACACCTTTTCATTATGATTTTTTTTTTCTCGTCCAAGACCCTTCAATTTGTGGTTCATTTGTTTTTTTTTTTTTTACCGATTTAATATATCTTTGTTGATTTTTCAAAATCTATCTATTTTCTCATTTTTAATCAACGGGATTGCTATTGTTAACCGTTATACTAAATAAAATTTTCAACTTTTTTCCGATTAAATTGTAGTTTAGGTGATCATCGAGCTGGAGATAAATGAACATTGGAAGAGTTGTTGTACGCGAGCTTCGAGAGCAGATAAAAAGAGAAAGTAAATGCTCAGAGTCGAGACCTACGTAACAAACGCCTATTTTTTTGTATGGAAAATATAATTTTAACGAGAATAAATTTGATAATTGAGTTAAAAGAATGATTATTGCATTAGAATGAGCAAAAATCTATATCTAATATCAGTTTACAAAAAAAGAAAAAAAGTTGAAGGTTCCTAAAGTAAAAAGAAAAAGTTGAAGGAATCTAGGCCTGATAGTTGATGTAATTAAAATATTAAGGACTAAAATGAGATTAATCTAGAAATATAGGGACTCAATTGAAGAATTTTAATCTGGAAGCCAGTGGTTTTACACGCCCCACTGAAGGAGTATAAATACCGAGTGAAGGGCTTTCTGCAGCCTTCTTCGCCCTTCCTTCTCTCTCCCCGTGCTCGAAAATGGATGCCGTTCTGAAGAGGGAGGCATTCCGTCAAGCTGTCGTTAACACCCTCGAGCGCCGTCTATTTTACATCCCTTCGTTCAAGATCTACGGCGGCGTCGCCGGGCTTTACGATTATGGCCCCCCTGGCTGCGCCGTCAAGGCTAACGTCCTCGCTTTCTGGCGTCAGGTGAGAATTATCAATATTTTTATGATTTTTGCAGTGTTATTATGGATGAATTTGTGGTTATTTTGTGCCTGATTGGTTACATTTTTGTGTTCTTAGTTATGTGTGGGTGTGATTTATGGTTTTGCTCTGTGAAGCGAAATTTGATATTTTTATAATCATAATTAAGTTTAGTTATTTTTTTTTGTGATGGATTTGTTGATTGAGTGCACATGCAGAAAATTGTATGTGATAAGAAGATCTGTGTTGATTTTTCCTCCCCATTTTTTAGCAATTGTTCTGATTTACTTAATAGAGTATGTAGGGCAATAAGATGTGACGATCTCACTATTTATGTTATTGTATAAAGATTGTATAATATTCAGTTTTTGTGTATTTGGGAAGGCCTTCAACTCTATTGTTTGTTAGTGCATGTATTGAATCAGGTTTTGCATTTAATCCCATCAATTGTTCCCTTTATGACCATTGATTTTGCTGTTTAATTTTGTTTTTTTCTCCAAAAATTCAGCATTTTGTTCGTGAAGAGAACATGTTAGAAGTCGATTGCCCGTGTGTTACCCCAGAGACTGTGCTGAAGGCATCGGGTCATGTCGACAAGTTCACTGACCTTATGGTTAAAGACGAAAAAACCGGAAACTGCTTTCGAGCCGATCATTTGGTCAAGGACTTTTGCAAAGAGAAGCTCGAGAAAGATCCTAAACTTAGTGCCGAGAAAGTAGCAGAGTTGAAGCATGTTCTTGCTGTGTTGGATGACCTCTCTGTTGATGAGCTCGGTGCAAAGATCAAAGGATATGGAATCACTGCTCCAGATACAAAGAACACTCTTTCTGATCCATATCCTTTCAATCTTATGTTTCAGACATCAATTGGGCCGTCTGGATTAAGCCCCGGGTGAGAAATTAGCAGTGTAAATTTTTATTTATTATTTAAAAAAAATAAAAAATTCAGTTGATATTGAAAGTTTATTTTGCTGCAGATTCATGCGCCCTGAAACAGCTCAAGGTATCTTTGTTAACTTCAAGGACTTATACTACTACAATGGGAACAAGCTCCCGTTTGCAGCCGCGCAGATTGGCCAAGCTTTCAGAAATGAGGTATTGTCAATTAAAGATTTCTCTTTGGGGTTGTCGTCCTGAGAAAATAAATATATATGTCGGGACTTTAGAGTTCTATCGGAGCATGTCTACGAACTTTAATAAAATGCTAATTTGATTTGAAGGGATTGAAAATATGTGATCTCATTATGACCTGTTTACTTTTTTTTTTTTTTTTTATATTTGATTCTGTCATTGTATATGTATGCTCAAAATGTATGGAATTTTCAGATCTCACCACGACAAGGTCTCCTAAGAGTCCGTGAATTTACCCTGGCTGAGATTGAGCACTTTGTGGATCCTGAGGACAAGTCCCATCCTAAATTTTCTGAAGTTTCAAAGTTGGATATTTTGATGTTCCCAAGAGAAGACCAGGTGTCCGGAAAGCAAGCAAAGAGAATACCAATTGGAGAAGCAGTTTCTAAGGTTTGTTGTTATATAGATTCCAATCGATTCGGCAATGTTTGGAATTTTTCACACCCTTCCAAAATGAAATTATCTTTGTTAAGCCTTTTAAATTGGACTTAAAAAGCTTTTGGAGAATTCCCTTTAAATTTCTCTCCATCAGACGTGAATGATTTGACCATTACAGGAAAAAAAATGTGTTTACTAAAAATACACAAACAAACGTTGCTTTAATTTCCAAATTCTCCTCCAAGAATATCTTTACCGATCATAAAATGGAAATCCCAAAAGGAGTCCAAACACTAGCTTCTTATTCTCTCCTGTCTATTTAACATCAACTTCTCCTCCTGTATGGCTCAGGGTACTGTCAATAATGAAACACTCGGCTATTTCATCGGGCGAGTGTACTTGTTTCTAACTCAACTTGGAATTGATAAAGATCGTCTAAGGTTCCGCCAGCATCTGGCAAAAGAGATGGCACACTATGCTGCAGACTGTTGGGATGCTGAAATTGAATGCTCTCATGGCTGGATTGAGTGTGTTGGTATTGCTGATAGGTCAGCGTATGATCTGCGTGCGCACACAGTAAGGGTCTTTTGAATAACTTGCATATTTTCATATGCAATGCTAATTGCTAGGAAGAAGGTTCACTGATATATTCTAATAGGGATATATTATATGACATCGTATATGATGTTTAAACTCTCTTTTCGCAGGAGAAGAGTGGTACTGCCCTGGTAGCACATGAAAAATATGCAGAACCTATAGAAGTGGAGGTATCTCTTTTTCCCTCCGCCCTCTCATTTTATCCCATACCCATTCTTAGCATACTACTTCCAAGTTATTGAAATCGACAATTTTGTTTATTAATCAACATTCACACCCCCTTGTTCTCGAATCTGAGGGTGGTGGTGTTATTGATAGGCGACTTTTGTGATTTCAATAATTTGAAGTATGGTGCAATCAACCTCTCTTTCTATCTGTGTATTTATATTTTCATGCTTGATGATTGTGAGATATGCTAGTAGTCGAACTCTGTTTCTAATATTGTTTTGTCTTCTTCAGAAACTTGTAATAACTCCAGTAAAGAAGGAATTGGGTCTCGCTTTCAAGGGTAATCAAAAGATGGTGGTTGAAGCATTAGAGGTATGGTAGTATACGTCCTCTATTCTATTTTAAATCAACTTCTGTATGTGTATCTATTTTGTTTCTTGTTTATGGTTTTGAACTCTTTTTCTCATTCAAAAAACATTAAAAAAAAGACCTGTTTATCCGTCTATATAAGTATCCAATTCGAACTTCTGAGAAAATATGGATTCCTGTTTATTTTAAATCAGCTGCATATTTATTATCTTGTGAGTAGCGAATGAACTAAATTTTGGTAATATATATGTCCCTTCGTTCCACAAAATTTGTGATTTTTTTCTTGATTCCTATCTATAAACAGGCTATGGAAGAAAAGGAAGCCATGGAGATGAAAGCGGCTTTAGAATCGAAAGGAGAGGCAGAGTTCAACGTTTGTACTCTCAAGAAAGTGGTGACTATAAAGAAAAATATGGTCTCAATCTCAAAGGAGATGAAAAAGGAACATCAAAGGGTTTTCACACCATCAGTGATTGAGCCATCGTTTGGTATAGGGAGAATTATATACTGTCTCTACGAGCACTCATTCTATACGAGGGCTAGTAAAGATGGGGATGAACAATTGAACGTTTTCCGTTTCCCTTCACTGGTGGCTCCAATCAAGTGTACAGTATTCCCTCTGGTTCAGAATCAGCAATTCGAAGAAGTTGCCAAGAAAATTGCTAAGGCGTTGACTGCTGTTGGGATTTCGTATAAGATTGATATAACTGGTACGCACCTCGGAAATTCCATCTACCTTAAATCTTGCTAATTGTCTACGTGTGTTTTAATTACATGTTTGAATGTGAATAATACCAATTGTGCATGCATTGACCTTTTCATGTCTTCTCTTTTCTTCCGTTTCTGCGTATGGATCTTCTTGAAGAACTGTATTTTTTCTTGAAATGCTGATCTCTGCTCATTTTGAGTTCGATTAATCAAACTGAAATGATAAATGTCGGACGACATTTACTAAAATGAAAGAAAATTTAATAATAAAAAATTCAAAATCTAACACTTACCCCATGAGTTTATTTGATTCGGATCATAATTCGGTTGAAAGTGAGTTAAAATTTCAAATTGAAGAGCAAAATTATGTTTCTGCTTTTTTGGTTCCGTTTCCGGTGATCAAATCTTAGATACTGTTCAAGCTTAGACAAACCTTTACTCGAAATCCAATCTGGTTAGTTTTGTTGTGGGATGTTACTTAATCGAAAACATTACCAAGCTTTGTAATATTGTGCTGTTTTCCAAACTTGGCTTAACAAAAGATAAAACTTTACGTTTCTCCTAGCTCAGGTTGGCTCTTATAGAAAATTGTTACTGTGTAATTCGTAGATTTATGAATTTTATGTTAAATGCAACGCAGGTACCTCAATAGGCAAGAGATATGCAAGAACCGATGAGCTCGGAGTTCCTCTTGCTGTGACAGTTGATTCGGCAACCTCGGTCACTGTTCGAGAAAGAGACAGCAAGCAGCAGATTCGTGTCAACGTTGATGACGTGGCGGCTCTGGTCAAAGATGTAACTGATGGTGTCAGCACATGGGCTGATGTTCTCTGGAAATATCCCACACATTCCTCTTGATCACTGGGATTTTGGATTTGTGCTTACGATACAGTTTTTCTTTTTCCGTTTAATTTCCGTTAATCAACTTGTTTTATACATTTACGCAGGATAGACAAGCTGTATTCATCGACAAGAAGTACTATGTTCTTGGTGAGCACTTGTGGTTCTGTTATTTTTGGATGCGTTAATTTTGACCTTTTTTTAGTGTTATATCGAGACTTTATATATGTCGTTATTTAACTTAAATTCGGTTCAATGGGTTGTTTTGTATGTTCTTGACACTTGACCCCAGTTTCTTAGTTCTACCGGTCCGTTACGGTTTTAAAAAACATTTTTAGATATCTATTTAAGATGGTCTTTAAATTTAGTAATAGGTAATTTTATTGACTTAATTAATAATAGTTCCATATATGAAGGTATTTGGTACATATTGTTAAAACTTGTATTAAATGGTTTAAATGTATGAATGAATGAATGAATGTTCATGCAATGTTAGCTATTACAAGTTTAAAAAATATAGTAGTAAATCTATATTCATACAAACCATATTATAATTTATTTTAATTGTATCCAATAAAATATGGGCATTATATTTATGGCTATGTTTTATAATTCTTCTCCGGACTGATGATACCCAACATAATTTGACTATGTCTTTTTAATGTCATTTCGAGATTTTACATTTTTTTTTTTAAAGTCATTGAGTAAAGCTTCTCCAATTTTAATAAAGATAATCTCATTCAATTGTACGAAATAAAACCGAGTCCATTTTCAAATTAAATTTACAAGAAACATCGACGACACAACCCAACTACAAACTGAAAAGTTAAAAAAAAAGAAAATTTGAACTCTAGAAGCTCAAGTGATCAGGCCCACCACCGGTGACAGAGCTGGAGGCGGCGGCAGCAGCGGCATTGCTCCGCTCGACGTGGCAGAGCTGGCGGAGCTTGGTCGGAACGTACCAGATGGAGAGGCGTGGGTGTGAATTGAAGACAGCATCAATATCCCATCCGTAGGCTGCGGCTACAACAACCACGGGGTTGTAGCAAGCCTGCCGCCAAGCTCCGACGTTCTCCCTCCGCTCCTTGAAACTCCGGCGAAGAGCGATGGACGCTGCCTCATCGAGGCAGTGGAGGGCGTAGCAGTGGACGTAGTGCCGCATTTTGGGCTTGTTGATGTAGTTCGCCCCCGCCGCCTTTGCGTATCTGAACACTTGGTTTGTCACCTATATATTCGTTTTTGAAATAATTGTTAGTCGAAGATTTCGGCGCATATATTAAGAAATTTAATAAATATGCATTGATCTTAGAAATAATATATGCTCGAAGAACTTAAATTTACACAAAATAAAAAGAGGAAACTGGTAAGAGAAAAATACTTTTAGATCTTAAATTTACACCAAATAATAATAATAATAATAAGTAATAATAAATAGGGTAAATTACAACCATCCCTGAGGTATGATCAATTTACGAAAAAATCCCTCTTGTTTGGATAATTACATCTATCCTCCTCAACTATGATTTTTTCTTACATCTCGACCCTTATGGTATCAAATTCAACATAATCATATAGATTTCGTGGAATGTGCTCTAGTTTGTATTCGTTTTGTGTAAAAATAAAATTTTTGATGCACCACAATCTGATATATACAAGCCAAAAAGCACATATGATAATCATTTTGCTTCAAAATATGGAGTTCGAAAGGGATGGAGTCATAGAACGGGTACAAAAGTGATAATATTTCATATAATCTCGAAGATTCTACTAAATTTGAAACCGCAAAGGTGGACGTGTAAGAAAATTTATTGTTCAGGGATGATTGTAATTACCCTAAAAGAAGAAGAATTTTCGTAATTTAACCATATGTTAGGTTGTAATTTCCACTAATAAATAAATAAATAAAGTTAAGACATAATTTTGATGGGTGTATTTTTGAAACAAGTTTTAGAGAGTTCGAATGTAGATAGCATAAACAAAGGGGTGAAGGAGTCAAAGGCTGACGTGGCGTGATGCAATGGGCCTATTACACAGAGTTAGGCCCAGATTCCGTACAAGAGGTGTCAAGCCCTTGTGGTGACACCACATTTTCAAACCCAGCCCATAAAACGAGGTCTTCGCCCCCCATTTCAGGCCACATCACAATAACTTATTATTATTTTATTTATTTTTAATAAAAAATTAAAGTATATTTCTAAAACAAAAATAAATGTATATTGTTTTTATTTTTTTTTTATTTTTTTGTAAATATGAATGTAGTAAACAATGAAATAGTTATTTCGATTGCGTAGTAAACACAATATACACAATTTTACATATACAGTTAAACCTCTATACACTAATACAGTTGTAACCAGTAAAATTTTATTAATTTAGCGAATTATTAAATTATCGAACAAATAATATAACACATTTTTATTGAGCCGGGACCGAGAGAAATTATTATTTAAGCGAGGTTATTAATTTATCGAGGTTCTACTGTAATTGTAATTAATAATGTGTGTTAATAGACAATGCAATATGATTTTTTTTCGTAAAAATCTCCAACATTTTGTCAATTTAGTGATTTTTTTTCTTTTCGGCAAATTAAAAATGCAATAAAAGAAAAGAAAAATCATAAGGTAAACAAATGAAGGAAGGTAATATAAAGCAAGTAGAACTCAAATTATATTATATTAATTAAAAAAAAACTAACCTTGGTGGGGCATTTTTCGCCTCTCTCCTTAGCAATTTTCTGAACCTGTATCAAGAACTCACGACACTGCTCATATAGATAGAAGAGGTAATCTAGTCCGTTCTTCTTCCCACGCGCCACCTCCCCCGGCTCCGTCACTATAAACGGGTGCTCTCTCTGCCTTTCATTTCCACCGCCGCCGCCGCCGCCGTTCTGATCATCATCCTCCTCTCCTTCGTCATCGTCGTCGACGTCATCCATCCAAACCATATTTCCTGATGATGATGATGATGATCTTCTCCTGTAATTGTTCTTCCTCAGCCTCAGCTTCTTCCCACCCGTCGACGACATTCCCAAGAACACCTACTACGACGATTCCATGCGAATACTTATCTTGCTATAATGGACGAATCCTCCAAGAACCACTACTTCGAAAAAAACTAATTAATTATATTCTTACATGTATGCATGAATATATA